TTCAATGCTCGAAACACAGTTTTACGGTTCTACGTTTGCCCCCATATCACTGCGAAATTAATGCAATTGAATTTGTATGGGGTGAAATAAAGCAATTTGTTCAGAACTGCAACACAACTGGAGACATGGAAATGAATAAATTATTAAAAATTGCAGAAGAAGCTCTTGAAAGCGTAACGATAGAAAAATGGAAGAAATACTGCACTCATGCAGAAAATGTAGAAAATGACTACTGGGAAAAAGATGGTCTGATTGAAGATTTATGCGAATACTTGATTATTTCCTCTGATGAAGAGGAACACAACTTGGATATGTGTAGTGACTGTGATACGGAATAATAAGTACTGAGGTAAGAAATTTTGCTTTTTAGCTCCCTAGTACTGCATATAGCTTTCAGCGCAAAAATTGAAGCAATATAATATTCATTATAATATGGTTATTATAATTCCTATAATTATTCAATAAATATAATAATTATTTATCACTGTATAATCATTATAATTAATTAATAGGAAAATTTTTTCAGTGTGTAATAATGCACGTAGATCGTAGCTCGAAGATAAAAAAGATAAACTAAATATCAATTACAATGTAATTATAATAACTATTATTGCCATATAATTAATTATAATAATTAAATTATTAGAATTCATTGTAATAATAATATAATAATGAAAATAATAAATAAAATATAATAATTGAATAATTATAATAAAATTTACTTATGTTTTTTTATAAAATAGTGTTATACTGCAAAACTAATTTTAGAAACCACTTTTATTTTTAAGAATATATACATAAATGCTTAATATTAAACACAATTTAATAAAACAGCTAATAATAAATGATGATCAGCATATCAGCTTAGATTACTTAAAAGTAATTTTATCTTCGTCTGTGCTTTTTGAACACTGTGGAAATAAACAGGGAAAAAGTAAAACGGAAAAAGTCCTTATGACCTGATTCCACTCACCCCAATTTGAGAATAAATCTGTCCAAATGGTGCATGCGTTTTTGCACTCATGGTCGCCGGTAAGACGGTCGAACTATACAGATTTACAGACCCCAAAGCGATATGTCCTCTTGTCCAAGGGAACCCATCATTGAGGGGAAATGGTTATGTTCAGCTACTTGGAGACCGCTTGCAGCCATTCTTGGACTTCATGTACCCAAACAGCGATGGAACTTTTATGGATGACAGTGCGCCATGTCACTGGGCCACAACTGTTCATGACTGGTTTGAGGAACATTCAGGACAATTTCAGTGAATGATTTCACCACATAGATCATGCAACATGAATCCCATTGGACATTTAGGGGACATAATCGAGAGGTCGGTTCATGCACAAAATCCTGCTCTAGCATCACTTCCTGCAATTGTAGACATGTATAGAGGCAGCATGGCTCAATATTTCTGTAGGGGACTTGTTAAGTCCATGTCATGACAAGTTGCTGCACTTCGCCGGGCAAAAGGGTGTCTAACAAGATATTAGGAGGCATCCCATAACTTTTCTCATGTCAGTGTATGGTATACTTGAGTTCTTCACAAGTTGGATCATTAACTGCGGCTGTCGATTTACTTCTCATGTAAATGAAACAATGGTTCACTGAATTGATCTGAGGGCCGCTGTCTTCAATTTTGGGTAGTGTCATCATCCAATCATCAATTTCTACAGTTTCTTATAGGAATAACATTATCTGGAACGTCATCATTATTCATCAGAGTATGATAAAGGTTGCCTGGAATTAAGAAATTTACGATTGGCACACTCATATGGAAAGAATTTCATGCATTGAGGCAGAATGCCTTTCCTTAGTGTGAAGGGATATGGCAGGAGATTAGAAAATTTGTTCAGTATTAATGCATGACACTTTTGTTAGTTTTATAGTTTTAGTAAAAATACATGTGGTAATTATTAACGGAAAGCAAGGTAACTTTGTTGAATTTTTCAACCTAACACTTCAGCACCACTCTAAAAGAATACCTATTATCTCTAAGCAAATATTTCTTTGGCTCAGTCAGCACTGAAATTTTTAAGAAGCATTTTCATATGCTTTAAAATAAATGCTTTATTATGGTACTGTAAACAGAGACTGAAACTTATAAAATACAGAAATGCTGAAAATAGTGATAATAAACATGTATTTTGATGAAATAAAAATTAAAAGTTGTGTTATTTGTATTGAATAACTGATCATGAAATTCATAATGTGTACAATGTACACTAAACCACAGAATGTTAAATGTATATGTATCAATATAAAATTTTCTTGCTGTTTTCATTATAAATTTCCCCTTGACTTTTTTTATATACAACTTATAAGCAGTATCACTTTCATTTAAAAGTATAACTAGCTTTCTTAATCTATTTTTTCTGTTAAATAATTTAATTAGTTTTAGTTTTGAAAACTATCTTTTTGAACTATTAATCCTTTCAGGAATTCAGCAGCAATATCTGCAGACTGAAGACAAATCTGCCTGTATTTTAATAAATTTCTACTAATAATCATGTTAAAAACTTTTTTTAAGACCAGTTCCCTATAAGAAAAAGGATGTTCATTATTTTTTATTTTGTTTTGTGTTTTATTTATTATTCATTATAATATATATTGGTTTTATTATTTTTCCAATTATTTCTAGCATACAGAAAAGGTCCAAAATTCATAAAAATCAAATAAATGAATGCAACAGAATGCAGTTTGCAGGAAAATAATAAATCTTGGAAGAGAGCAAGGGCTAAAAATGTAGTTTAAATTTTCATGGATAAGGGGTATTCTACCACATTGACTAATGATCTCTATTAGAATAACATTGAACATGATATTAAAAAGTTTCATTTGTTGATGAATATCCTGACTATTACTATAATGTAATGCATGGTGTTAGAAAAATGTGGCTATAAGCTTATTTCCTTAAATGCTGATTCTAGATGTGTACTTCAAATTGCAAAATTCCTAAAGATATGATAGAGAATTTTATGAGAATATTTTTAGCTCAGAGGTGTAGGTGGGTTTTCAAAATACAAAATCTATTTTCTTATGTGGTTCCCATAGAACAAATGGTCCAGATAGTAAAATATTTTTGATACTTTACAAAGTGAATTACCAAAAGATCTGTACATTTACGCACAAATTTCACACTTACTCGATTTTTTTCGCCTCAGGGCTAAGTGCAAATTTAGTAACTACATGTTTTGTATTGTTTGTTGTTTTACTTAATACATTAATTGGAATTGCCAAAATCAGCAAATTCTTTTCTGTAATTGCTTCCCAAATTTTTAGGAATTTTTACTTTTGCTCAAAATTTTCTATTGGAAAAAAATTAAATTTTTTTCTCTAATGCATTTGTGAATTTTTTAACTTACTAAAGCATAATGAATATTTTACAAATTTGAATTGTTGCACAATGGGAGCCATGTTAAACATTATATTTTTATGTATGGAACCTTTCCACACTATATGTGTTATTTGTTAATGTTAAAACTGTTCTGTTAAAATCCTTTATTTATTTTGAGAAAGATTTTAGTTTGAAATAAGATCATTGCATAAGGAAACAAAAGTATGTGTCTACCCTTTTGTTAACACCTTGTATGTATATATATATGTGTGTGTGCGATGGCCGCCCAAACAGTATAGTGGTTAGGAAAGCCTACTGTGGTAACAAAGGACTGGAGTTCAAATCAAAAAAGGTTCAAATCCTGGAGACCACACCAAGAAGGCGGGAGAAATACCTTATACCTGTACCATACGATGTAAATCTATTTCATATAGTAAAGTTTTCCAGAATCGTGAGGTGTGCTTATAGTAAGTCTATCGCTATAGCTGGGACATATGTGCCCCAGCCTTTGGCTTGAAAACTGTTGCTCAAAAAATCCCAAATGCTAAATTTACCTTATGACATATTTTGTTCACTTGGACAGAAAACGAGGTAATTTTTTTTAATTTATAGTCAAAGGGTTAAATTAGAGATGAACAAAACTGCTCTTTTATGGGATTGGGTCGAAAACATTGATTCACTGAACTGAATCGGTTAATTTTTTTGGCTGACTGCTCATTAGCAATAACCTTGGTGAAAAACTTCAGGAATGAGGTGTGATTCAAGAATGTTTAGCAAGGATGGAGCAAACAGCTCCATTAATTAACAATAACTAACAATAAAGTTCTAGAATAATAAAAATGTTCAAAAGTTGGGAAATAATAAAAATTAAACTGATGCGAAAGAATAAACTTCCTTTTTTCCTCTAAAATAGAAATCAAACTTTTCTGGCATGCTTTCAACAAGAGCTGTCAGTGGTGAATTCTAAAAGAGCTACTGCTAAACTTCTAAACTGCTTTTTTTTCCCAAAATTGGGTGATCTTTCTCTCTCTAAAATAAATCAGTTTGTGAATGATTAGCATATATCTGTTTGTGCAACTCTTCCAACAAGAGCTCTCCATGAATTGTGAAAAAGCTATCACTCTATTTTCTGGAATCAAACTTCATTCATTTAGTAAAGTGAATCAGTTCTGTGAAATAGATTCTAATGCCAACAAATAGGTTGGCTGCTTGAGAGTTTTCATGATTTTTTCCAAGCTTAACGTAAACATGAGCCAGTTTTTCTTAGAAAATCTTCCACCAAGCCATCTTCCGCTCAAGCAGAGAATAATTAATGATGTTAAAAGTGTGTCATATTTTATAATTAGTTTAATGCCATAACATAAGACAAACATTTTTTAAAGAATGCTTCATTAATGGGCATTTCTGTCCATGAGTGATAAATGAATTCTGTGAAATTACCCCTTAGTTCACATCTTGTCAACTGTTTTCCTTTTGTCAGTACTATGTCTTTGTATTCTAATGTTTTGATGTAGTTATGAAACTTTTAATTTAGCTGTTATCAAATATTTAAAATGTTTCTTAAAATCTGTTTTATGTGAGTGTGTCTGTGTTTTCCCAAGATTTTAATTGATTTGGTATATATATATATATATATATATATACTTTCATTCTTTTTACCCAGATCTGGTTGGTATGTTGGAGAAAACACTGTTAATTTATTTTGGCAAGCAAATCACACTATAATAGATCACTGGAAAGCATTCACTATGCCTGAAGTGGTAGAACGTTTTGACCTTTTCAAAGATGGTTCTATGAAAATATATACAAAAGAGAAATGTACTTTTGAAGAATGTGGAGATGATGACATTTATAGACCTGAAGCATGTCGGAAATCTAATGTGCAGTGTGCTACTCTTCTGGCTGATTATCCAGGTATATGTGTGAAAATAGCATTACGAATAATTAAATTGATTATATATTTATCAAGCATTCTTGGTTGGAAACAGAGTAAATGTTAATTGATGTTTTACTTTTCTTGTGAATAATTTGGCACTTATGATGCCTGTCTTCATAAAAGAATTTAGTGCCTATTATTTTTAGGTCTAAAAAGAAATCATTTCCATGATCTGCACATTTTTAAAATGAATAATGATGAAAAACATAAATAAGATAATAAATGGTGTATTAAGAATAATTTGTCACAAGATCATAAATGACTGGTCTCCAAAAATAGGGTTAAATCCGTTTATCATGCATTTCTGACTATCAATCCATGCTGAAAGTAAAAGGTAAGACAATGCTGCAAAATTTCAGTCAAAACTGAATATCCATGTATGTAAGCTGAATTTAGAACAGCTCTATAAATCCAACTCTATATTGTCAAAATGCATTATTGTGCTTATAATTGGTCAGCTTATTTAGCTAAATCTATTAGATGAGTTGAAATTGAGTGTCGAGTCCTCATCCCTTTGAGAAAGAGAGAATCAATATAGAGAAAATTAGGTTAATGGATGCTTTCTCTGTATGGATAAACCCTTTAGTCTTGCTAACTCGCACCATATTTTTGGCGTTATGTTTAATGTGCATAAATAGTGTCATGAAAAATATGCTTAAAATTGTATTTTGAATTTCTTTGCATAATCTTACTTTCAGTTTTTGGTAGTAGGGATATATCTACAAATCTGTTTACAAAAAATTATTTGAAATTACTACCAAAAAATCTTGAAATTTTTTTGTTTACTAAGAGCATATTTCCAAGCATTTACACAACATAATGTACTGTACAATATATATCAAAATAATATAACTACAAATTAAACCTTATTACAGCTTCTGAGTAGTCATTGACATTCTTTGTAGGTATACAATTCTGAATACAAGTGCTAAAAATTATTGAATGCATCTATCGTTTTGAAACTTCTTCACTTTCTGTATATGGCCTTTTTCAAACTATTTCCTGTTTTAAATATTCTTCTGCACATGGCTGTGCAGAAGATAAAATAGATCTAAACATCTAAAATGAGCTTCATCAGACTGCTACTTGTAAAATATGCTATGATGCTGCTCCAAATAACTGATTGAACATTGTAGAATTTCATTGTACAGTCAAAAGTCGTTAATTCGGACACTCATAATCCGGAATGATCTATAATCCGGACCTCAAAGCTACAAACTTTCTGCGCATGCGTCGCGTTGACGCTCAAGAAGCATGTACAGAATCCAAGTAGATAAGATTTACTTCTTTTTCTATATATATTGAAATTGTAAACAGATATTCTAACTCACTGTGTCTAATTATTATTAAGGTTTACATATGTATACAGTCAAAAGTCGTTAATTCGGACACCCATAATCTGGAATGATCTATAATCCGGACCTCAAAGCTACAAACTTTCTGCGCATGCATCGCTTTGACGCATGCGCGTAAGACCTTTACGGCTGCGAATATGCATGTGCGCGTGCGCAAAATACGTTTACGAATGCGCGTTTAATGTATAACGGACGGTATAAGCTAAGCTAAAATTATCTAATTCAGTTAATGTTGCAGATTGCGTTGTTCCTTAATCTTCGAATTGGATCCGGCTTATTATTTTTTGCAGACTGTTAGAGCAATTTTATAAAAGTAAGCTTGAACTTTCGATTATGTCAAATAGAATTTCCGATATATATTTACTAATATGTAAAGGATCTACAAAGCGAAAGTATGTTTCGAAGTCCATTAAACAAAAAGTGGAATTGCTGCAAAAAATGGATAAAGGCATATCCTTTGTTTATCTAAACTTTAACGTTTGTTTATCTAAACTTTGTGTATCTTTAATGCCCGCGGCGCGCAATGAATTGGAAGTTGATCTGTCAGCACTATCCTTATCTTCAGGGCAGATGTTTTTATTTTATTTGGCTTATAATTCCTTACTAAATGTAGTATTTCATCTCGATGTACTCCGTCTTTGATATGATTTAAATCAAATTCCTCGTCATTATAATTCGCTTCCGATAGCAAAGAAAGTGACAGAGGTTATTAAAAACGAAAAAATTTCGATTGACAAATTAGTCGGTATTCTCGACACAGCAATTATAGGACTTGAACAGCAGAACTTTGTAACTGAACAAGAAATTATGTCTGTTTATAGAATTAAAGAGAATGTATTATCATAAAAAACGAAGCAACTTAAACAACTTACATTGAAAGAAATGTTTAATAAAGTAAACAAATAAATATTAAGCTTTTTTTTTTTTTTTTTTTTTTTTTGTAAATTTTGATACCCTTTAGATCATAATTGCTCTTTATTTCATAAATTATGGTTTCATATTTTTAATTTTATAATTTCTGCATGCCATCTTACCAGATTTAAACTGATGATCTATAATTGGAATCGCCGTAGTCCCGACGAGTCCGGATTAACGACTTTTGACTGTATACTCTTTCTACTATTTAAATAAAGATGAGATAATTATATTTTCTGGTTATTTATTTCTCTTGTAGTTGACATTTGTTTAATTTTCTTTTAAAACCAGGAATCATTGCTGATAAAGTTCAATATACTTAAAACTTGATTTTATTTAAAATTCTAGCCCTTTTCTGTTAATGGAGCACTACTTAGCATCAAGCATAAAATTCATCTGTTCTTAAAGGTACTTAAAATCCTTACGTGTTTTGGAAAGGGTTTTTGATCCTTAAAAATCCTGAATTTCATCCCAAATTGGCAGGAGGTCCTTAATTTTATTCATCTGACATTTCTGTTCGATTCATTCACAAATATTGCATTTGATGGGTTATTTGAAATATTTCCTACTACTTAATATAAACTCTACAGTACTGGAGATTTTGGGCACAAGGCCCTGCCTCGAATGAAATATTAACATTTTAATTTATTACTTTTACGTAGCGTTTTTAAAGTAAGGGCCGTTTTGTTCTATACACTAATATGTGTTGCGCAGGTGGCAACAATTGCTTGCATCTTGTTCTGGCATCCCTCGGAAACAACTGCGCTCAGTTGCAGCTGTGTAGGTAACTTGTACGGTCTGTTCTGTGTCTTTAAAATGTTCTAGATTATCGAATCACCTGCCACGTTTTTTGTCAGCAAGAAACCTGTCTACTGCAGACATTCACTAGCAGATTTGTGAAGTTTACGGAGCTATTGCCATGAGTGAAGTCAAAGTGCACAAGTTGGTCAGAGACTTCAAAGCTGGCCATGACAATGTCCATGATGAGTCCCTTTGTGGTCGCCCATCTGTGATCACAGACAATATGGTGGCTTCAGCATGAAGCAAAAATTCTTGAGAACAGGTGCTTCACCATAAGCACTCTTTCAAATGAATTTCCTGAAGCGTCTAGTCTAGGATGTGAAAGGGGCCGTGACCTCTTCGTTATCGGAGCGGGCGGCAAGTTTCTATGAAGAGTGTATTCAAAATCTAGTTCTAAAGTATGAGAAGTGTTTAAAGAAACTTGGCAACTGTGTTGAAAAATAGAGAAACGTATGTAGAATCTGAAAATATATTTAGTTTTTGAAAATTTTCTTTCGTTTGGTTTTTATTTTCAAATGGCCCTTATAAAACACCCTTGTACTTTTTTTAATGAAAAGCTTATAAAATATTATAACCAACTTTCCCATTTTGCGGTTTAATTTCTTTTGTTATGCAGTGTTAAACTTGGCTACTTATCAACATTTTGACAATTTCAAGATTAATTTAAAAATTTTTTTTTAATTCAGAGATTTTCGAATTTTTTCAGGAAATTTTTTTGAGCAAACATAATAAAATTGATAAATATCATTAAATAATAATAACATATATTTAAAATTCTAACTAAGAATAGCATTATAAAACATTTTTATTTTCCCATATCGTATTTTAAAATATGACTTTCCATTTTAGTGACTTTTTTTATATTTATATTTTTGGGGAGATATTTTAATTCTGAAAAATAAATAAGATAATAATTTCTATAAAACGCAGTTTCTAAAGTACATAAGCAAAACTACTGTAATTATTTCGAAATTAATTTCATTTCTTATCTTTTATATTTTTTCTTCTGTAGTTTCAGAATATTCAGATGTGTTTATTTTCTCATAAAAATTCACTTTACATTTTTCATTTCTGAATATTTTATTCAAAACTCTTCTGGGTTTTTGCTCTTACTGAGGTGGTAGAGATAATAGTTTTTTATATTGCACCTCGGAAGGTTTAGAAGGATTTGAAAGCAAGATTTATAGACCTGTGCTTCCAGAAGATTCCAGAAAAATGTGACGAAATGAAAAATATGTTTATAATATTAACACATAATGAAAGTTTTATAGGAAATTTGTAATGAATTTCTTATTTTTTGGCAGAACTGTTAAAACAAAGTTATCTGAATTTTCTGCTTTTGATCCTAGATGCCTTTTTCTCAACATGTTTATCATTCCTTTATTTTTCTCATCTTTTCACTAGCCTTAAGCATGGAGAATTCCATACATGGTTCTAATCCTTCCACATGGACAGGCATCTGTAGAAAGGGATTTTTCTGTTAGTAAAGAAGCTGAAAACTGACAATTTAAAAGATTCGTTTTATGTCTCACTGCACCATACACTAAGCATTTTGCCACCTGGTGGAATCTCTCTGATTCCTAAATTCTGCTGCTCAGTGTTTGTTCTAAATTCTAAAAATTTTACCATCCCAAAATTTTGTTGCATAGTGCTTCACAAACTTCTAAAAATTCTGCACTGGATATGGAGTCGGACATGATCTTATATTAATTCATATTTATTCTCAGTACTCATGTAAAGAAATAAAGTTAACAGTTTCTGTTATACATTCTAAGTACATGTAATAACAGAAATTTTCAATTAAATCTGAAATCCTAAATTCAAGAGAAAACTTATTGAGCAAGAAATTGATTACACATAAAGAGAAAGAAAACCATTCTTCTAAGTCATATTGTAGAAAGATTAACAAATTATATCAGAAAGCAGAGACTAATGTCGACATTCATTTGTTTATTGAAGTAAGTAAACATAGAAGAAATGCTAAGGAGAAGAAAACTGATGTAAATTACCTAAAATATTTGAAAAATTTTCAATAGTTTTTAATGTGTAATAATCCTAATATCGTTTTAGAATCAATATCATAAATTACATGCATTATTTGCATGTGTTATTTTAAACTGTAAAATCATCATCATAAATTACAAGGCCCACCAGCGGCCGAGCGGTAAAGAAGCTGAACACTGGTAGTTTGGTCCGAGGTTCGAATCCCGTGAACGGGCTGGCTGCATGGGCGTTTTCGTGGTTTTACCCATGTGTAATGTGTATACGAGCCAGTTTCCCTTAGAAAGACCTCCATGAAGGCATCCCTCCCTTTAGGCAGATAGCCCTCGTGTGCTTTGCCATAATTAAATAATCCAATCCAATCCATAAATTACATGTATTATTTGCATCTTATTTTAAACTGTAAAATGTTCTTAGATTATGATTTGAATAGTAATTTTTAACAGATATTTTTTAGAAATAATAAAAGAATTACTACTGACTATGTAAATCTATAATAACTCAGGGTATCTAACTATGCATATAAGTATTTGTAACTAACTACTCATGCTTAAAATATATCTTCACATTTTAAGATGAGATATTGCCTTCCCTTACTGTGGATGCAAAATACAACACAAAAATGTAAAAAATAGGATAAAAGTTTATTCCTCACAGCTAATGAGACTTAAAAGAATGTAAAACAACTTATTACCTCTGGTGTTTCAGCTGCTTTTTTGGAATTTTATATTAAATACTGTATATTAAGTGGATTATTACTCCAGCAACTCTAAATGTAACACTAACTATGCTCTAAGTACAACTTCAGCTATGATGCTAACTGGGTCAGATAGCCTCCGGATTTCTAGAGTACATGAGAAACGAAGCATTAAGAAAAATAATCTTCATAAAGATAACTGTTAGTAAAACTTAAAGTATCGCTGATCTTTCTTTAAAATATGCAAGATTATCATAAAATATAAATGTTTCAAGAATTTTTTTGAATTTAATGGTAATCACCTGATAAAGTTTACGAAGTTTATTTTATTGTCAAATTTGTGTTGTAATTATGTTAAATATTAAAACATCTTTAATAAAAATGCATCATACTTACACATTTATTGTATTCTTAGAATGGTATTACAAAAGTGAAGCTCAGGTATAGATAATTGCTTTAGTTCATTTCTTAGTTTCCATGAACAGGAATGTGTACAAACCCTGCGAACATGAAATCTAACTAGATGGCAGCAACCCTAGCATTGCATAAAACTTCATCAAAGGAACATATATTTCATGTATCATGAATATAATATATTTAATGTTTAATATGTGTGATGCAAATTTTGTGCAAATCTCTGATATTTTTAAAGCAAAGGCAAAGTCCTCTGTACATGGGGATAACAATAGTTCCATTCTTTCCTAGTGCACTGTTATCTTCTTTTGCCTGAAAAGGCCATCAGAAAACTGCCCCAATTCAGCATTACACACATGAAACATTAGATGTATTATCATTACACAACTGCTCATGACATGATATAAAGTAGCAACCACATTTGGTGCCTTGGCACACACTTGCTGACCACCAACCCATTATCAGAAAAGTACAAAAAAAAAAAAAAAAAAAAATTATCTATTAAAATCACCTTTTTTCAAGTTTCAAATAATCCATTTATAGCTTACCTTAAACTGACCTGAACTTTAAGTCAATGACATATTTAGCATGCATTATTATCCTGCATATATTTACTTTGTTGTTGCTTAGTTCTTTCAGGAAGACAAGAAATTTTTATTTGCGTGAAAGTCTGTGAGCCTCACTATTATGAAATTTCTATGTAATTCACTTGAGATTTTAGTCTATATGTGCTTGGTAAATTTTCAAGAATATTATCAGAGTAGGGAATTATCAGAATATTTGACACATTTTATAAACATTTCTTCTGTTTCCTCCTTTCTAATCTATAAAAATTAGGCTGCCTATTAGGCCTTCCATGTTAAATGCCTAGGAGTATATGTTGTAGCAAATTTTAATCATTTTCTGGAATATGTACTCTATTATAAATGATTTAGAGACAAACAAATATTTTGCACTCAGACATTCAATAAATCAACATTTAATGCTTGTTTAATCTGTCTGAAAAATTATATAAAAATTTCTGAAATACTCATTTTCATTAATCCTAATTTTCAGTTTAGTTTAAAAATTATTTCTGAGCTATACTTTTATCATCTTTTAGATAAATAAACCTTTACATTGTGTCATTTTTCTGTAATATATTTCTGTATCCTTTATTCTTTATGAGCGATCAAAATGGCATGAATTTTGCAATTTCATATTCATAATTTCATAATTTTACATTTTATTTCATATATGCAAGATGAAAATCTGTTGTATCATTTTGTTATGATTTAATTTATATGGCTAAACTCCTGTCCTGTTTTAGACATATAAATTCGGTTTTAAAGTTTCGGAACTGAATACAAGACATTGTGCTGATTATTTTATAACTAAATATTATTTATTTGGTTGATGATTTTGATTGCATTATAAAAATTGAAATCTGATAACAATGTTTCTCTTTTCAGCATCAAATTTTGAGCTGTTGAAATACACAATAACAAGATTTGAACTTTTAGTGAATGTAGCCTGGGTAGGAAAGAACCTGGAATCAATTATTGAAAAACGAACTGTGGCAAACAAAAGTAGTCTTTTTTTCCATAAAAGACCTATGTTTTTAAGTTCTCATGAAAATTTCATTCACATATCATTTCCAAAGTGTGAGGATATTGATACTATTTGTGAATTTGAAGTCAATCGACTACAAAAGGTAAGTTCAATTGAAAGTGCATTTCTTGCTTGATTGAACCAAAATCCTTTATCAGAACATTATGCGGGCTTTATTTATTTTTATTTAGCTTTTCATTCTCTGTTTATATCTACTTAACATGTAATCATGTGAACTATAACTTTGTGTTGATTATATTAATTATTCCTCTTGATAGCAATATTAATAGTTTCATTTTTTGAAGTCATTCGACCTTAAGACTACTTTTTATATCAAGTTACTTGGAGCAATAAGTTGCTCAAATTAGGTTGGTTGCAATATTTGATTATGTACAATGTTTTCCTTGCATATCAAAGAAGCTGGAATTCATTCTGCATGTTGAACAATATCTAGGTATTTGATGCAAGAAACATTCAAAACATTCAGTTTTTCCATGTTGGTTATCCATTGAAAGTTCAGGCGTTCAAATACTTTTAATAGTCTGTATATAATATTTTCTGCACTGTATCTAAGAATATTGACATTTCGTTTAAAATAAGGCATGATCATGAAATACTAGAAATGCAGTCTATGTGACTTTTGCAGTATCAAATGGCAGTGCATTTCCAATCAAACAAGAAAAGGTTTGTAAATATTATATTAATAAGGTGTTTTAGTAACATACATATTAATTAAATTTTAAACAAGAAATAATTTAATGGAAGGTTTCAAAAAGAATTGGCCTTATCTCTTTGGCTACTGGTGGTTGTGCATTATCAGTATATTTGCTAATTTTGCAGTCAATTTCTTTACCAGAATGAAGTCCTTTAGTCTCTCACTTGTATCTCAAAATAACTTTTTTTTAATGCTATGTTATAATACAATTCACTCAGGATGATGGTGTGTTAATAAAAGCTGAATGTGTGAACAGCCAATATCTATCATGACAACCATCTCTGAAAGTTACCAGCATTTCTTAGAACGTTTCTACCAATTTATCGTGCAATTATTGCCGGAGTATCGTGCAGGGTGCAACGTGTCCACTTCTTGAAACAAAGCCCAGTGGGCACAAGACGTTAAGTGTTCTTGACAATTCGGCAAAGTCAAAAGAGTTGTAAGAAGGGGGTGACCGTGCAATCACTTAGTCTTAGAAAAGCCAGAATACAAAATGAGCAGATCAAGGAGCTGTGAGGATTACTGTAGTGCATGTCTGTATTGTTGCAAATAAATAACAAAGACAAATCAGACAAGTAATACAAGAACATATATAAGTACAATGGAAAGTAAAATATAAAATACAAGGCTAAATACAGTAATTGATACAATGTGCATAAAAATATACAATAAAATATTTACAAGTTACAATTAAGATGAGATACATAATATGAGATGCAACATACAATACTAATAGGTGCATATCAGAGAAAATAGCTAGGTAGGGAAATTTAAGTCCCTGAGTAAGGTGGGCTGCAAATAGTTTGAAGATAGAGTCCTCCTCGAGTACAACGTAATTTAACACATTTAGCGCATTCATATGGCTACAATCCTGCACATTTTTAAAGAATTTCATGTTTGCTTTATGCAGATATTCCTGTACTGTGTCGAGCTTAATGCCGTGATGGAGAATCTGGTTAGAAACAAAGCTCTGGTCATCATTCTGAGTAGCTTGTTTTGCATGACCTGTAACTTTTTCAGCTCTCTCGTATGGACCGAAGCCTAGGTGGGCGAAGTGTAGGCAAATATGGGTCGAATAATCGTGACGTAGATACGCCTTTTGCGTCTTAAGTCCAGTTTTGAGTCTGGAGAAAGAAGTGGGGTGAGGGACTGAATTGCCCCTACCATTTTGCTTCTGATTTAATTAATATGCTCTTTCCATTGAAAGTTGGAGCTGTACTTGACGCCTAGGTACGTGGCCTTCTTTACAATAGGCACGACAGTCCTGAATAGTCCAAGTTGTGTGTCCAGAGAGGTGTTCATTCTCTTTTCCCTGATGATAAGGAGGTTGGACTTGTCAGCATTTATGTCAATTCTTCACTTTGAGCACTAAAGCTCAAGCTGTGGCATGAGATTTGGAAGTCTAGAGATTGCAAAATGGGGTGATGCAGATTTCACAGCAAGAGCTGTGTTGTCTGCATAACATCCCAGAACATAGTTTTAGTCCATGTTATCGGTAGGTAGATTTGCCACGTAAAACAGATACAAAACGGGCCCTAAAATAGATCCCTGTGGGACGCCGGCCCTTGGAACGTTGCTATGTAGCGGCACCGCAATTTATAAACTGCTGAATATGCAAAGTTTTTGAGATACGAAATTAAAATAGGTCATAATTTGTGACATCAGACTGGGAATTATTTGGAAAATTATTACTAGAAACTGCAGTAAAAATTTGAAGCTCAAATAGATAGTTTGAATTAAATATTTGCAAATAATATGTAATCGCTCTTCACACTTTAACATACATATATATTTGCTGAATTTTTTAATTTCATTATTTGTTTTCACATTGAAAATATTGTTCGTATGCATTTGTTATGAAGGTTTTTGGTGTTTATTTACATTGTATTTTATTTACAGATTGTATGGTCCAAAATAAAACCAAATGCATTATATGCTTACCATGTTCTGAAAGCTATGTATTTTTCTCAATCAGACTATCTGAAGTTGTTAGAGCTTTATAGCCTTAAAAAATTGCGTGGCTTAGGTGTAAAGGAAGTTGCTTGTGACTGGATAAGAGAAAATATGCTTGTTTGGCTCAAATGGACTCCTACTGACTTTAAAAGCAAAAGTAAATTATTTATTGGAGGAATTTTTCCAATGAATGGAATTTTTTGGAAGCAGAAAGGTGTTATACCTGGTATGTATTGATCTTTTTTATTTAGAATTAGTTAATGATTTTCTTCAACTTTGCATATCTAAAGGTAATTAATTATATTAATTGAAATTTTAGGAAATTTAAGCCAAAAAATTTCTTTTTCAAAAGTAAAACAGGATGCTTTTTTCCCTGTTTGTTTTAACCTAGCAACAGCCTAGCCTATGGACATTCATAGGTTATTTTGATTTCAGTTCTTAAAGGCCAGTTGGCTGCACAACATTTTCAAGGATTTCCACATGTATTTTGTATGGATGCAAATCAACATTTAAATTCCTTCTCAAATGCCACTTGAATTCCATCCTGTGGCAAATAATCCGTAATTGCTTTAGCATAACATGTATTTTCTTACACATTTATTCATACATAACGGATGCTGAGCTGGAACAAGGATTGAAGTGAAAGCTAGATGGGGTGCCAAATTAGCTGTGAAAAGGCAGAAATTTCTATTAAAGAAAATTTTGATTTTTTAACTAACTTTCAACTTGGAAATGCATCAAGATATATTTAAAATAATGTAATTTTATTAGCACTATTTATAATAATTTAAAAGCATTATATTCATAAAGCTGTTTTCGTTTTCTGTGCTACCGTCTTTTTCCGGAAATAAGACACTGTCTTACTTTCTTTTTTGGTCCAAAATACACGCTAGGGCTTATTTTCAGGGAAAGGCAAAAATAAAAGTATATTTTTATTTAATATTTATTTTACACAGAATACAGAAATTTAAATTTATTTAATTGCAGTCATGTCATCTTCTTCTGGAACATCGTCATAAATAAAATTCTGAATTATATTCTGATTTTCTTCCAAATCCATTTCCTGTTGAATCATTGGTCCGAATCTATCGTTAAATGAATACTTGTCTAAGTAGCCTGTTCTTAGTGCATTGGAAACATCACTATCAGTTATTTTGTCCCATGAATTTTTTAACCCAATTCACAACTTCTTGTAAGCCTGTTTTTACGAAATTACCTCGATGATTTCTCACCATTCTATTTTCAATATATTCATTGATTTCCATCCGCAAATGATCCTTGAATGGCTTGTTTTATTGCAATGTCAAGTGTCTGTCTGGGTAACCAGTCATTCCTGCCGGAATCATTATTTGATCAATCTTCCTCTCAGCAAGAAAGTTTTTCCATGTCTTTAGCACGGTGAGCACTGGCTGAATCCCAAACTAGTAAACCTCTATTCTGACCCCTCAACAGTGGTGGCAGCATAAAATCAACCCACTTTCTTATAACTGCTTGGGTGCACCAGGCCTTTTTCACTTTCAATGACATAAATTCCAGAAACACGTTGAATCTAGTCTTTTTTACCTTTAGTGATTAAAAAATGGCGATACTTTCTTGCCATCTAGACGAATCGCCAAAATACAGGTAACACGTGCACTATCGTAACCGGTAGAAGGAACGTAAATTGACGAAGAAGCCTTGTGGTGAACTGTCGTTTGAGCTCCTTGGCCTAGGAATACCGCGGTCTCATCCATAGCAATCATGTTGGAGAGTTGGTATTTCGAAAAATCGATGCCATCAACAAAAAGCTTAAACGCAAGTGCACGCTTAACAACTTCATTGTCTTCCAGCTTAAACAATGTTGTTGATCTCCTTAGAGACAGTTCATATCGTTTAAGGAAGTTGTCCAACCAGTGTGTGACGATGCTTTAAATTCTTCTGTGGATATATCAAATTCAATTGCTGTTTCAAGGGCAAATTTTTTGAATATCAGCCCTGCGCACAACCAAAGCCATTGCTCTCCTGCCTGCAATCCATTCCCAGATGCAATCTTCCAACTCAGAAAATAACGGCTGCCGACCTGATCCAACTCTGCGTTTTTTCTCATTTCCTTGGTCCACCAGTTGACACAGGTAATCGTAGTCTGCACGCCATTTACAAACCATACGGAGATCCAGCATCTTCTCTTTACAGAATGCTACAAGATTTACACCCCTGGAGTCTTCCACGATTCCCTTTTTGTACTCGACGGAATAGCTCTTTCGTTTTGTACTCATTTTAACTGGGGTTAAAAATTATTCACTTTATTTTTAAATAAAATTACGTATGAGGAAATAATCAGACTTACAAGACTGAAATGAATGAACGTTGTATACCTGCACTGTCGCTCAATGTAGACTGCTGCCTTATGTTGTATTTTTAACCAGTTCGCCGTTAGGAAAATCGCAAACATTTCGTGCCATTTTTCGCATCCAAAGGTAAACTTTTTTTGTGTCTAAAACTGGGCTCAGAGTATTTCTTTCCCCCTTTCACCACCTGTGAAAGCCTATTTAGAAGTTCTGTTCAAATCAGATTGAACAGCATACCTGTCACACTGAAGGATTGTGAATAACGACCCCCTAAGGGTCAACATAAAACATAAGGACTGGTGTAGTCCTTAGAGCAGATATTTTTCCCTTTGTACCCAACCTCACTTCCTGCACCCAACCCCAAATCTATTGCTATATATTACAATGTAAATGTAATTTTTAGTTGTCAAGAAAAAGCTCTATATAAAGTAAAAATAAGGGCGTTAGCTAGTATTTGAAATGTCCTTGAATTTTGTTTTATTATTTTCTTGATGGCCTGTAACAAAAAAAGAAGAATTGAATCCTTAAGAATTGAAAAGATAGCATTCAAATCTCTTTGTTCATTAATGGAAAGGGAGAAAGCTGTTGTGGATCTCATTAGATATGTTGAGAGGGTAGCTATTCGAAGAAAGTGTCCCCATCCTTTACTTTCCTGAAACAGCCCCGCTATGATCCTAATGTGACACCGCTGAGAAGATAAGTAACCCATCAATCACCCCTTTTGATTTTCGACTAATTCTGTGGGGGTTGAAAAAAGGTTGCTGCGTTGTATGTGTCTCGGGTTTACGGTTCAGCCCAAATTTCATCCCGACGAGAGTCTGCTAACGGGACGATGACAATGCCTTTCATGTGCACGTATCTCTCTGGGCAAACGGTGAGCTGGTTAAGATAAATTCCAAGAATTAATTTTAAACGAACTGTAGAGGTAAACAATTAATTTCTCGGAATATTTTGTTTCAAACATTTCTCTGAAATACGAGTATTAGGAAAGCTAAACATATTATTACTTATACTTAATAAATCAACAGCATTTTTTAACGAATTCTTTTTGTCACATTATTTTAACTAGGAATTATTTTCGGGGGATGTCTTATTTTATAAAAAGTTCCGAAAATCACGATAGGGCTTATTTTTGGAGGATGTCTTATTTTTCAGAAAAAGACGGTATATGACCAACTGTTTGATTTTTCTTTAGTTTTCCTAAGTATATCTCTTCCCGGTCAGGATGGTGCCTCTTATGTTTCACAGTTGTTTAGAAAGCACCAACATCAGAAATTCTCTTTTATCTTCTTTTAATTTGACCTACAGCTCTTATTTCATAGTAAAAAGTTTTTTAAAGTCTTCAAGCTGAGTAACATATAAAGAGAGGCCATTGGAATAGCATCAGGAAACTAAACAAAGCTGTTTAAAAATAAAATGTATTGCATTCTCAGACTTTTGCTTAATATTTTGTGTAAAAATTACTTTTGAATGAGATTCGTGTTTTGAGATACTGGCTTGTTTCCATGTGTAATTTATGCTATAACTGTACAGTTAATTTTATTACTTTTATTGCCCATGAAAATTTAAAGTGCCCACAGTTGTAAAACATTTTTATAGCCTCGAAATTTCGCAGCAAAGTTAAAAAAAAGTAGAGAATAAAATATTTTCTCTTACCTTGTATCCAGCGCAGTTTCAAGCTAGATGATTAACTTCTAATCCAAAAAAGGTTGTAGACCAAAAATGTAATTGAAACACATTTTTATTTACATGAAAATAGATCAAGATTTGTTAGTATCACAAATACATATTAAAAAGGGAGTTATACTCTGGCTACCAATAAGTATTTGGACACCTGTGGTAGAAAAGAAAAACTAACTTTATTCAAACTCAACAGTTGGTAGAGCCTCCACGAGAGGTAATTACAGCGTGGACCCTCCAGAGCATAATTTCCACAAGTCTTTGTATGTGACAGCTAGTGGTATTTTCTTCCACTCGGCTTGGAGAAGACATAGAAGTTCATTCACCGATTTTGCACGGGTAGTGCTCCTCTGAATTTGGCGATGCAACTCGTCCCAGAGGTTCTCAATAGGGTTCAGGTCTGGACTCTGGGCAGGCCAGTCCATTCGATGAACTCCATTGGCCCCATACCAAGCCTTGGTTAACGTCGAAACATGACAACTGGCTTGTCGTCCTGAAAGTAACAGGGGTCCAACCCGTAAAACTGCCACAACGTAGGAAGCACATTGTCATCCAAAATAGTTCAGTAGGCATCGGAGTTGAGCTTACCATGAATGGGGACCAAGAGCCCCAGCCCATACCAGGAGAAACACCCCCAGACCATAATTCTCCCCTTCGCCGAACTTGACTGTTGGCACAATGCATTCTGGCAGGAGACGTTCTCCAGGTAGACGCCAGACCCAGACCCTGCCATCCGAACAGTAAAGGGTGAATCTTGATTCATCACTCCAAAGAACCCATTTCCACTGATCTCTACGGTCCAATTTCGATGTGCTTTGCACCACATTAACCGAGCAGCACGGTTGGACTTTGTGATCAAAGGCTTATGGGCAGCAGCACGACCATGAAAACCAAGCAGATGTGCTTCCTTACGGATGGTATTCATTGAAACGATACTCCCGGAAGCCTGTTGAAGCTCCTCGCTAATGAAGACCATCGGTTGGGTGCAGTTCTTCCGAATTTCTCTGGACAGCGCTCGTCGGTCTCTATCTCCCAGTTTCGTTGGTCTGCCAACTCAGGGCACATTCCGACAATCACCGCTCACCTTTCACTTATTAATCATATAGGCCACTGTCGATTTTGGGTACTTCAGATGGCTAGATATGTCCCTTAAGGATCAGCCACATTTGTGATACCCGATAATTATACCTTTCTCGAAATCAGAAAGCTCCGAACTGCG